CACCCCGCACACTTTCCACCATGCCACGGCAGGCTGCGATCAACACTCCCCACCACTGGACGACGGCAGCCAGACATGTTTGGCTTTCCGGAACAGCAAACATGAAATGGGGGGGACAACCAAAAGGAAACTCAGCCAAGCCGGAGGGCACAGTGGAACAGAGGGTTGGGTTTAAACCATGCTTTGCAGGACACAGGGCAGGTCTAACCTAGAGATCTTTTTCTGACCCAGAGTGAAGCGGATGATTTTGCTTTGAGATGAGTCCTTGGGTGATGTACTGCATGATAGGAAAGAAAAAAGTGGAGGAGACATGTGAGGAGAGAGAAGATGCGTTAGACACACAAATAAATACCGGGAGTCTATGACAGTGGGAATGTCCCGAGGGTTTGCCCCCTGCCCACTTTTCCCCACCATACGCAGCTTTCTTCCCAGTTCTAACTCCACTCATTTGATACACATCCAGTGAAGAAATTGCTTTTAAGGTCATCTAAGGACTTCGGGGGGGCTTTTGTTTCTCCTTAAACACCAAATATCTTTCCTTGTTCCAATCAGTGTACGGCTTTCTTCTTACAGGAAGACCCTAAAGCAACAGGTCCCTAAAAAATAAACTTAATACTCTTCTAAAGTATTGAGAAGTTTTTGTTTCACAAGCTTGTTCTTCCTGGGGTGCTTTTCAGATGAATTTGCTGAATAACCCACATAAGTGACCCAAATCAAGGGTAGAGAGGTTTGAGAATGTTGCTGGTCTTGGGAATGTTTTGCTCTTAATGCTTTAGAGATGACTGCTTTTAAAAAGTCTTTTGAACTTGCAAAATTCTGGATTTTTAGGACCACAAAATTTATACCTCTGAAGAATTTTGGTTGGGTTTAATAATAGAACTTGGGGTGTCTTATGACAGACAGAAATACGTATCTTTCCTATAGCCAAATATCCTGCACCGTGTTCATGAAAGGATTGGCGGTGAGAAATAAAATGCTGGTTTCACTAGTCTTAGGAAGTACAGAGACAGAAGAGGATGACGAAAAAATACAGCAATTTTTTTTGATTATTCCTAAACAAGTGAATACTCAGCATTATATGGTAGATACAGATGGAGAAGGAAGCAAGTCTTGGAGACGATACTCCTCTCCTGGGCTCTACACTGGGGAGGAATTTCATAAGGTGACACGTGATCAAGCCACCACGTAAATTGAGTGAAGAACTAAAGTGAACAACGTGAGTCACCATGAGGCTGTCGTGGAGAATCTGCTCTAATTCCTTCGTGCCAGTGTATCAGATTTCCCTCGCCAGCTTCCTCAACTCCTTTACTAGCAAAACTTCATGGAGAATGGCCAAGTTTTAGTGCTTGTGATCCCAAGAGATATGGAACCTAGATGGCTTCAAAATAGTTTTCAGGCATGTTTGTATCCGTCGGAATTCTAATGGACTACCAAAACAAACCTGCCGTTTGGGGCTTGCATCAACACTAATGATCTAGAGCCCAAACCATTTCGCTAGGGGCTCAAAGATAGAGTCTGGGGCTAGAAATACAATGGCACTGAGCCAGTGATGTAATTTCATCGTTCTTAAATTTACAGCCAGAGTGTCAGCATGGGATATCATCTCCCTAAGATTATCCTTTGGAAGTAAAATTAGAAAGTATCAGAATATAATGGATAAAACCATCCATCTGCAAAAGTAACCCAACCTGGACAAAATGAAGGGAGGAGTTAGGACGTACAGCAACTCCAAAGCCCAGTTCATGTCACAAGGTAGATCAGGGGCCTTGGGAGCAGGAACCACTCTATAGGTGGAATACATGAACGTGAAAGCCTGGCTTCAGTGAAACTGGCTCTCATTTAGGGAAAGCATTTATTAATAGGAGGATGTTGTGGCCTCCTGGGAGATGGACGCTCTGACTGGAACATCTGGTTCTTTTAAGAAAACAAACGCCTACCACGGAAATGGGTGCCTCAGGCTAGCACAGGTCAGTACCATAAGCCAGTGTTCCTCAACGCCCGTTGCTTGGTGCCCCATGTAGTAAGATGCCCTATAACATAAGGCCAAATCTGTAGAATGTTCTTTTTACCTTTCCTTCTGAAGATTCACAGTCCATACCTCTTGCTCGTCTCTCAGGCTTCCTCATCTCAATAAATTAGTCTACCACTTACCTGACTGCTCAAGCTAGAAATCTAGGCTTTGTCTGGACCTCTCTCTCCCTCATTCCAGAGAGTCAGTCTGTTCTCACGCTCCGAGCTCACTCCTAAAATATCCTGAATCTCCATATCTGCTCCCACCACCTTGATGTAAGCCACAATCACCAACGAAACTGCAAAAGCCACTTAACTGGGGTCCTTCCTTCCATTCTTGCTCCTTGTATTTTTTTTTTTTTTTTGCAGTTTTTGGCCAGGGTTGGGTTTGAACCCACCACCTCCGGCATATGGGGCTAGCGCCCCACTCCTTTGAGCCACCCACTCCTTGTATTCCTATAAGAACAACCTTATTCTCTAAAAAGAAGCAAAGGTGAATTTTTTAAATGGTAAATCAAATCAAGTCTTTCTACTGCTTAAGACTCTCCTGTGCCTTCCTGTCACCCATAAAATGAAGTCTAAACTCTACCCAGTTTAGCCAACACTATGACTGGCCTCAGTGCCACAGCAATGCTACGGGGCTGCCTGTCACACTGTTGTCTATGGAAATGGCTGCTTTACCCCCTACCCAGCTACAGCCACACCAGCTTTCTTTGTGCTCCTCCAACATGCCAAGCTTATTCCTACCACAGGGCCTCTGTACCAGCCGCCTCCTCTGCTGGAAGTACGCCACAACTGAGTTTTGGATGGCTAGTTCTTTGTGATTCATCTCCCTCTAACTTCAGTGTCACGTCCTCAGAGAGACCTTCCCATCAACTGAACCTGAACTAGTAGTCCCTCCGAATCTTGTCATCTTATCATAATGCCACTATCTGGTATTTTTATTCTCCATGTATTTGCCTGCCTCCTCCGGGAGCAGGCAGAGGGCAGGCACCTTGGCTGTCTCACTCATCCTTGACTCCCAAGTATCTACAATAGTACAGACACACAGAAGTGCTGAGCGGTGGGAACCTGCAGCCTTGGGGCCACAGGTGGCCTAATGGATCCTTGAGGGCCGACTCTTGACTAGATACAAACTTCACAGAACAAATCCTTTAATAAAGCGATTTGCCCTGTGAAGTGAGGATTCAGTCAAGGGGCTTTGGGGATCTAAAGCCCAGTAGGCTCAAGGATCTGAACAGACCTGCAACACCAGTTGTAACAAACCCAAATTCTCTACCAGTTCTTCTCCCACAGAGTCCTTCTTCTTCAATATAACCAGAGTTAACATTCTAGGGAACAAACACTCTAGAATATACAGTTTGATAAATGATGCCCTGATAGTTCAAATTATCCACATCCATCATGCAAGTTTGGACCAGGAAATGGCTCATGGTCAGGTAGTTTTCTAGGGAAAGGGCAAGTGACTGGTAGCGTGGCCGTCTCTGCTCCTTCTTGTTAGCGACTCTCCTATCCCACAAAGTTCCATAATGTGAGTTGGCTATAATTTGATAATTAATTTGGGAGCCTGATTTGCATTACTCCCACCACTGCTAGTTTTAGCACCATCACAATCAGGAACTAGCACTTCTCATGGGGAAAAAAAGCTGCAACTGGCTACAGAGCAGTGCTGTTTGAACAACTCTGTGCTTTGCCCAACCACGATGGGTGATAAAAAGCATATCTAGATGTGTGAGAAGACTGATGATTATTAATGCTGGTGCTTTGAGGCACCAAAAAGGCTGTTAACTCTTTAGCACACAGTAGATGAAACTGAGCAATCAATTTGATCAGTGACATTTAGGTTTTATAGGTAAAGGTCTGTATGTAAGTTAAAAGAAAATAGTTATATGAGCTATTCTGCAGAAAAAATAGCATAATTCGAAAACTTTCTAGTTGCTAAATTCTCCTGGGGTGCCACTGAAACAAACATTTTATAGGGTGATCTTTGGCAGAGTTACTTAGAAATGCAATGACTTCCACTGTAAAATAGCAGATAGTAACCACTGTGGCATTCTGCTTCTACATTGCTGTGGTGAGTCCAGCATGAAAGCATCAGTCCCTACAGGAATTGCAACAAAATCCAGCCCCTAATATTGCAGAGCAGGACATCACTCCCTCAAGGTAGGACACTCCGAGTGTTCAATACAGCAGTCACATATAATAATGACTGTTCCTTTTGTTCCCCTCTGGGAGGCCAAGGTAGGTGGATTGCCTGAGTTCATGAGTTGATTCAGCTAAGTCAGAGCAAGACCCCATCTCTAAAAATAGCCAGGCATTGTGGTGGGCGCCTGTAGTCCCAGCTACATCGGAGGCTGGGACCAGAGAGTCACTTGAGCCCAAGAGTTTGGGCTATGATGCAATGGCACTATACAGAGGGTGACAAAGTGAAACTCTGTCTCCAATAATAATTATTATTACTCTAACTGCCCCCTGTGGAGGTGCTGCCACCCTCAGGGAAGGTTAGCTTCCTCCTTCCCTTGGGAACAGCCACTCGCCACCCATATAACTTTAGTACTCTCTATATTTCCCTTCTGGTAAAACAGAGGCATCGCTTGAATAAAACGTTTGCTTTCACTAAGTAAAATTTCTCTTATGTGTAACATTGAAAAACTCGACTTATAGGCAAACACACAAAGGGGGTCTGAGTCTATTTTAGGGGCTGTTCATTGGCCATGAGTATGTGTAACAGGCCAGACAAACAGGCAGTAGTGGCTAATTAGCTTCGGCTGCTGGAGATCCTGGCCCATAAAAAAGTACACATCTCCACCAGGCAAGAAGTTAGTCCCCACTGTGTCCATTTCAAGGTCACGCGAATCCCGCCCTAACCACCAGGAGCTCTCAGCACAGAAGAAGTGCGAATGAAAAACACACAGAGTATAGGCTAGAAAGTGGCCATGGGAAGGAGGGTGCGTGGGAAACAAGGCGATCAGCTGGAGAGGAGCCCCCACCTGGACTGCATTTCTGCTTGTGCTTTTGCCTGCGGATGTGGTTGTGGCGCTGGCTGGTGAGGCGGGCACGGGGCTTGGGGTGGGGCTGGCACCTGTGGCTGAGGAGTGCCAGCCTGGCACTGGGAGGGGGCCCCGGCCACCTGGGACACAGCAGGTGGCAGAGGAGAGGAGAGGTGTTGCTTCTGGGGCTGCTGCTGCTGTTGCTTGTATCGGGAGAGGCTGAAGAAGAGGCCTAGGATGGCCTTGAGGTTTCCATTCCTGATCTCTGCAAGACAACAAAGAGACTCTGGTCAGATGGGAGCCCTCACTTAGTCCCATCCCATGGGCTGCTTCAGCCCGCATGCGACTTTAATTTCTTTAGGCTATGACAGACTTCCTGAACACTTCATTGGCATCACAGTCGATTACAATCAGACCTAAACCACAAAGAAATTAGCTTATTCTCCCCATTGGGATTAGAGTGGATACACAAAGCAAGTTGCATGTCTGGCAAGTGCCAAGCGGAAACTCTCTGTGAGCACACCACTGAAAAATCAAGCGTCTGAGCAAGACTGTGCTTGTTCCACCAGCAAGGGAACCGACTGGGACAGGCACTTCCTGACACTGGTCTTCTGCCAAATCCATGTGAACTTCTAGCCACACTGAATGTGCTAAGTGGCTGCAGTCCCCCTGCACAACCCATGCTCTGCTTACCCAGCCATCCTCTGCTCAAATACTGGGCTCTGTGTCTCTCTCGTCTGTTGAATAAGTAACTCTAATTTGGGATGGGTGTAGGGATAGTCTAAAAGGACTTGTTTTCCTGAGGCATTCATATAAAATATCTCCTATATTAAAAGAAACTAGAAAAAATAAAAATTTTAGAATTCCAGACAGTATTTTTCAGATGTTAAAATCCATTTGCCTCAAGGCATGTATAGAGAGTTGCAAAGAAGAATAAAATATTTATTCACAGGCAGAGGCTACATAGATAGCAGGTGCCTCTTCATGGATAACCCTTCCTTTTATGTAGTTCTTTTTACACCAGATGCTGGTGGCCAGAATCTCAGCAGATCCTGAGGGTGAAGAATGACGGCCACCCCGTAGGAGGGACAGGGGGGAAACATACTCCGCAGGTGAACACCCTCAGCCCCCTCTCTTTGCTGCCACCCCAACTTGGATTTCTTTTTCTGAACTGGCAAGAGGGGCAAAAGGAATGTGAAGACCAAGGAAGCGTCAGAGGCCTTGTCAGAGGGGTGGGTTAGCCCCAGCTGAAAAGAGTCCGCTAAAGAGGAAACAAGAGTCTCCTCCAAGGCCCAGTTGAGGGGCAGAAGGAGTGAATGGAGTCCTTTCAGAAGCAAGACCCACTCTGCACAGAGGGAGGAAGAGCAGCCTGCCAGTGTCTCTGCTGCATTGTGAGCTGCTGGTTAGGTCAGGTGGAATCACTTCTCATTGGAGCATCCCTTTCTACAGGCTCTGCAGAAAGTGACAATACAAACTTCTAGCATCCAGCCTTCGCTTCACTTCCGATTTAGGGAGCTAGCAGATTCCAAGCATGGGACAAAGCTGATAAGACAAACTGTTTAGAAAACTTAAGCCATGAGTTCCAATCTGTATTCCACTGACTATTTGTGCAACCTCAGGCAATAATGTACTCTCTTAGGCCACAGTAAAGTGGCAATGCTGATACCACTTGGCCCAGCAAACAAGGTTGTTTTGCAGATCAAAAATGAGAGTATACTTATATATGCCACTGGTGTTGGTTATTACATGAATATAACCCCAGATTCCCATACAGCTCCAGTCTCATGCCTTAAAAATGACAATTTTTACCATGCTGATCTTTTAATACATTGTGCAAACCATGCTATTTTTGAGAGGGGAAGCAGGAGGAGCTCTTAATTATATCAGGACTGCAGGTGTAAGCCAGGAAACTGATGTGGACAAATTAGAATCCAAAGTCACTGCTTATAGATTCGGTGCCTGTAGCTCAGGGATTAGGGCTCCAGCCATGTACACCGAAGCTGGCGGGTTAGAGCCTGGCCACAGCCTGCTGAACAACAATGACAACTGCAATAAAAAAAAAAAAAAAAATAGCTGGCATTGTGGTGGGTGCCTGTAGTCCCAGCTACTTGGGAGGCTGAGGTAAGAGAATTGCCTGGGCCCGGAAGTTTGAGGTTGCTGTGAGCTGTGATGGCACTGCACTCTACCCAGGGTGACACATTGAGCCTCTGTCTCAAAAAAAAAAAAAAAAAAAAAAAAGAGTCACTGCTTACAAACCACTCTGTGCAATGCAGGCAGCAGATAAAGCTCAAAAGAGATGCACAAGCCCCTCCCTCCCCCCAGTTTCTTGGGTAGTTCAGCTTTAACCTTCAGCTCCGCTTCCTTTTCCATCCTAAGGAAACCAAAGAAGAGGCACGCACCTGTGGCATTGTCTACTTCTGTTTATAAGTGTTTTTGCCAGTACCTGAGACTCACAGAGTGTGAACTTTGAATGCAATAATGTAGTTGGTTATTCATTTTACTCACAGGAACACAAAGCCTCACAAGGTGGAGTGACCTAACTTTAGTCACCCAGCTATGCAGTGACATCAGCTAAGCACAGAACCAAAATGATCCAATCAAATGCAGACAGGCAGGTTAGCAACTATTAAAAAAAACTTGAGAACTTCCCCTCAACATTGAATTCACTGGAGGGAGAAAGTAGTGTTAATTGTGGGGCTAGATGAAATCCACATAAGACTTATTTTTAGGGCTGTTTACAGTTATTATCAAGTTGTTATATAGTATGCAATAACAAGAGCTATTACTGATAGTGGTGTATTAGGCAAAGCTCTTTAGAGGCACGCTCTCATTTAATCCCTACAACCTGAGAAGTGACTATTATTATCCCTCTTTTACTTAAGCGGAAACAGAAGCTCAAAAAGGTTTTATGACCTCTCTAAGGTAATAAACTCTGGAGCTGGGATTTGAATCTAGTTTTTTCCGGCTCCAGGTCTGCTTTCCTAACACTGTGTAACTTGGCTTACTTGTATACTCATTATGTGTGGTGAATTTAAAAGCATATCAGATAATGTTTTATTTATTAAGCTAGCTGGTGGGCATGTAAGTATTCTTTATCCTTCTGGTGTGTCAAACATTCCATAACACTTTTTTTTTACACCATGCAAGAAAAACAAAGAGGAGAGAAACTACCAATTCAGCATATCCAGGGACTTAGGGGTTGCCCACTGCAAAAAGTAGGTACAGGTCCACATCAGCTCCTTCCATAACCTACCCACCCAACCCCAGGGTAGACAGACGGAGTCAATCTTGTCACAGTCTTTACCTCTTGTGATCATTCAATCATTTACTATTCATGACAGTAAATCGTTGGTTCGCTCATTCCCTAAAACATTCTTTAATTTTCAAAAAGCATAATGCTCCTTTGATAAATACACTTTCTCTTAGGAGGCTGCATTTTCATTATAAAGATCACTCATTTTTGGAGCCAGAAAAGCCTGGGGTTAAATCTCTATAGCCCAATCGTTTATCACTTAAGAGTTTTTACAAGAGTCAAGCTCTCTGAGCCTCAGTTTTCCTCTTCTTTAAAATGGGTGCGTTTCTTGCTGCCTTTTTGCTGCAAGATTGTCATGAGAAGTGAAGATTAAATGAGTAAATTTAGAACACTGCCTGGCTCTGTACTTCCCTTTTTGGCTCAGAAAATATTGACTGTGCTCCCTACAGCCTCCACAGAACAGGCTTCTTCACCCAAAGGAAGCCTAAGCAGCGGTCTGTTCTCTCTGCTTAGCCCCTCTGTGCCACAAGTCACTGATGTCCAGAAAGAAATCAACAGTGAATAATCCAGCATTAGAGAACACTCAATGGTGAGCTGCTTTCTAGTTTTTAAGATAGCATTATTAAGGTATAATTTCCATCTGTAAAATTAAGGTTACAATTCCACGATTTTTTTAGTAAATTTAATACATTCTAGATTTAGAATCTCTATTACCCTAAAAGATTCCTCATGCTCCTTCGTAATCAATTTCCAAACCCACGCCCAGGCAATCATTAATCTGCTTTCTGTTTCTACAGATCTGCCTTTTCTGGTTATTTTATATGAAAGGAATCACGCAATATGTACAGACAGTCTCCGATTTGCAATGGTTTGACTTATGATTTTACGAACTTACTGGGCATGAAAGCAATATCCATTCAGTAGAAACCAGACTTTGAATACAACCATTCTGTTTTTCACTTTGAATGCTGCATTCAAATATTCAATACTTTGTTATAAAGCAGCATTTGGGTAAGATGATTTTGCCCAACTGTAGGCTAACCTAAGTATTCTGAACATGTTTAAGGTAGCCTAGACTGAGCTATGATGTTCATTAGGTTAGGTATATAAAATGAATTTATTGTCAACTTACAATGATTTATCAGGGCATAATCCCCAGCCCCGTGATAAGTCAAGGTACATCTGGCTTCTTTTCCTTAATGTTCTTAAGGTTCATCCATATTAGAGACTGTATCAGTTTTTTTATATTGCTGAATAGTATCTCATTATATGGACATACCATATTTTGTTTATCTCCTTCCAAAATGATGGCCATTTGGACCATTTAATTTTCTTTTCAGATCACAAAAACTCAAAGAACAGTAGATGCTCTGAAAGCCACATAATTTATGCCATGGGTGGTCTACAACAGACAGTAACCAAAATAACTAGAAGTGTGTTCTTTCCATATTTCCAAATGGTATTTGTCTGTGTTCCATGATGCTTGGGAAGCCAGATCCTCAGGGAGCCTAAAACCAAAATCCAAAAACCCACAAAAATGTTTCCTTCATGATACCTCCCAAGGCTTTGAAAAAGGAGTATCATTTTGATTCTGATAAACTTATGTTACTCTCTTGACTTCCAGAGAAGGAAAGTGTAGACCTAGAAAGAATAGACTTCCCAAGAAGACACAGCCAGCTGATGACAAACCAGCCCTGGAAGCCTGGTCCCCTCTCTCTTCCTGCAGCCCCCTCCATGTAACCTGAACAAACTGCATGGGCCTTATTCCAACTTCCAAAGAAGTAGAACTTCCTTGAACCTAATTTCTTTGGTTCCTGACTGATCTCTTTGTTCCCACTGGCTGGTACTAATCTGCATAGATGCTGTGGATAACATCAGGCATGAAGGGTAAGATAAATAGGAGAGATATTTCTTTCAACATTCTTAAAGAGAAACCTCAAGACTGGCTTCCAAAGGCACTGAACTGATTCAGCACAAGGAAACCTGCTTTGTGTGTAGGGAGAGCCACCGCA